TGAAATATTGCTTTCTTTTGATTTTTTTTTAACACTGTTTATATCATTGAGAGGGGATGCACAGCCACGTGAGGCTTTGCTTAGGCTGGGGAGAGTCATTGTTGTAAACCTTTTGGCTAATATAGGGAGGGGCAAATATGCAGGAAGGTGGGAGGGACAAACATTTCACTTTTTTTGCCCTCTGGGGAGGAAAGGGAGGAAGTTACTCTGTCCTGTCAAACTATATTAGCACCCAGGGATGGGGGACAGTCATTTGATGACACCTTACAGCCCCCAATATGGAGAGGAGTGTTCCAAGGGTATTACTTGGGTGGTTTTAATAGTTCTGAAAAGTTATTGGTTTCATTGCTCCAGGATTTAGAAAATTTTTCCAAGGTCTTCTAGTTGACAAAGTCCACCTTAGTGCATCCACAGCCTCACCCTGGGAAATTTTTAACTTCCAAAAATTTTGTATAAGGTTTAACTTCAATCACATCCTTAGAGAGCATCAAACAGCTAGTCTTAATTAAACAAGGAAAATAGAGCTTATTTCTTTTTATACCATTTATTTGCTTTGGGAAGTTTATTTCATAATAAAATTTTCTATAGTCTTTCCATTTTTCCTAGTGAAACAAATAAAAATAATAGGTTAGAAAATGCAGAAGTAAAGATTTATAATCCCAAAATTTATAGGAAGTTAAAAAAATTATTTAAATCAATGAATGTGTCTTCCTACTGTTATTTAAATAATTAATCATTATGTATTTGTGTTTGTTTTTTAGAATAGCTAAGTTTCCTACTTTTACAATAATAGCATTTGACTGAGTTTGAATATTATGATTCCTAATTAATACAGTAGGTTTGATACACACCAATAGTGAATTGATCCAAGAAAATAAACTATTGAGGAACTTCATAAAGTTCATAGAAAATGTTTAATGTATATTACAACACCAGCAGGTTCATTCATGACTTACATTAAGATGCAAGTTATAAAAGCTATATAGGGCCCGGCACGGTGGCGCAAGTGGTTAAAGGTCCTCGCCTTGCACGCCCGGGATCCCATATGGGCGCCGGTTCTAATCCCGGCAGCCCCGCTTCCCTTCCAGCTCCCTGCCTGTGGCCTGGGAAAGCAGCAGAGGACGGCCCAAAGCTTTGGGAACCTGCACCCGCGTGGGAGACCAGGAAGAGGCTCCTGGCTTTGGATTGGCATAGTATCGACCCGTTGCGCTCACTTGGGGAGTGAATCATCGGACGGAAGATCTTTCTCTCTGTCTCTCCTCTCTGTATATCCGCCTTTCCAATAAAACAATAATAAAAATAAATCTTTAAAAAAAAAAAAGCTATATAAACTAACCAAAGAAGTGATGGTAAGGAGAGAAGGAAGGGCAGAAGATAATAATGATGTGATGAAAAGCACAGAAATAGGGACTGGGAGGCCTGAAAGAGCTGGAAATTCCTTTTGACTCCCCCATTTCTATTTTCATATTTTCTTCAATTGTCTCCTTTATCAAAATCATTTTCTAAGAATTTTCTGTCTACATTTTGTAACTTTCAGAAGTTGTATATTTCAAATGCCTTTCAATTTTGCAAGCAGAGGGAAGGTAATTAGTTGTTTGTGACCTTTAATTTTTAAGCCTTATGTAAATTTGGATTTTAGTCCATCCCTGGCCCAAGCAAAGGTGCAACATAATAGAGACAGTAGAAACTTAGTTTATGAATTGGAGAGAGCTAGAAACTCTAAGGCAAAACGGTTTTCAGAAAAGAGAATCTTAGTGTGCAAAACTAAACTGAAACAATATGTCTATGACATAGGAATTTCAATGAGGATAAGACTGACTGTTCAGCCTGCAAAGTTTCTAGAAGCTAGCCACGCAGAATCCTGATTAAGAGGGAGAAAAAATGAAAATGTAACCATGGATGCGAGTGATTGCATCTATTCTCATCTCGCTATGACCAACATCATAATTTTTTTTACTGTTTGATTCTTGCTCATTGCAATTTACTTCTCCTATGTCCTTTTCTCTTATAAAAATCTCCTTTGTCATCTGATATTAATTAAAAGTTACTAATTTTTTATGAAGCCCTCCACAATATAGAATCAGGCTGCATTCTGTTGGTTATATAATGTAATATTATTGTTTTTCTGTTTTTCTAATGTTTCTAAAAGCATACATTAGGTTTCAGATATTATTCTTATTCCATAAAAATGCTCAAATATAGGAAATGCTTGTTATAGAATTGTTTTACCCATAATTCAGGCAAAATTGCCTTAAGAACTATGTGTACAACGTAACTATATGTAAAATACATGACCAATAACAAGGAAAACATTTCCCAAGAAATATCAGAAGTTAACTTCCTTATAATACTATTGTCACATCAATGATCATTTCACTGTGTTCCCAGGGTTCCACTCTCTTAACACCTGCAGCTTTCAAAAACTCTGCTCCTATTGTGGGCTTCACTGGCAGAGTTACTCACTCTGTACATTTATCCCTCTGAGAGCTTACTTGTATGCTGCTTAGGTATTAAACTGTGCTTCCCTCCCCTCCATACTGCAAATGTGTGTGTTGAAACCCTAGCCTCGAATATAACTGCCCTCAGAGAAAAGATGCTAGGATGCAATCAAAGGTAAACTGGATGATACTGTTATTGTCCTTGTTTGATGACACTCATGGCCTGATAGGTAGAGGAAGCCAGTGAAGTCTTATCTCTCTGTGAGAAGGTGTTCAGAAGGCACTTCTCTGCAAGCGGAGTCCTTACAAGATCCTGACCCTGCTGACACTGAACTACAGAATTTTAACCTCCAGAATTGTTAGGAAAGAAATTTTTATTATTTCTGCATCTTGGTCCATGGCATTTGGTTATGGCAGCCAGAGTTAGTTAACATAAATAATTGAATAATAATGTGATACGTGAGTGAATTTCATAAAATCATAGCGATTTTAAAGTAGTTAGGTGGTCGGAGGAGACAGAGAAAGATGAGACATAATGGCATCAATGCAAAAAAATGGTCATAGAATAAAATAAAATGGGGAAAATATCAATGGTACATGTGAAAGCTATAATTTTAATGATAACGAGTTCTATAAGCTAACTATACTATCAGCACAAATACAAATGAATGACTATACCAATGGCCTATTTTTATAAAAATTAACAAAATAAGAATGAGCGTTAATATTGATTTGTCAAAAATCCTGTAAAATTAAACACTCTCCTGTTCAGTTGCTCATGCTGGTATAAGACTATGAAATTGTTCCCAAAATAACTCCAGTAACTTTATCTGAAAGGTTTATATGTCTGTATTTTTAAGTCCAGAAATATTGTCTTTGAAACTTGTAAAAGTAATATTTAAAACATATAATATGAATAAAAAACGCTTGTTACATTGAATCAATTTTTATTTTTCTTCTCCAAATGGAATAGTATAAAGAGAATTCAATGTCAGATATCTATATCTATGGAAATATTTAATCATCAAACAGCCACAGTCTTGGGATCAGCACAAAAAAAGGTGGTATGGTGAACTAAATAGTCTAAGAAAATTTTGACAGTATCCCCATTTAGTTAACTTTAATGTGATGAGCACACTTAATTTGCAATACACATCTTAATAAAATTTTAATTGCAGCACATTATTGGTAGTTTAGGAAGAACATTGTGCAACCTATCTATATAGCTTAATCTCTCACTTAATATATACTTTATGCCCATTGTTTCCTAACTACTCATTTCTCCCTTTCCCTGATCCCTAAAAACCACCATTCTGTAAATCTGTTTAAAAAATAAACAGAAGAAATTCCCTGAGTGGGATCCTTTAGCACTTGTTTTGTTGATGGATTTATTAGACTTAGCATATCTTCCCCAGTTTATACTCACATCATTTACCTTGAATGCATCCCTTTTATAAGGCAGAACAATATTACATTGTATATACATGCAACATTTTTCTTTAATCACTCATCTGTGTATAGATATTTTAGTGAGTCCACATCTATGCTATTTTATATAGTAATGGGCATAAGGGCATTAATATCTCTTACTGATTGGGGTCCTAAGGTGGGTTCTATGTTTAACTTTTTGTGCAACCCCCACACTCTTTCCATAGCAGTTATGCAATTTTTTTGTTCTCACCAACCAAGTGCAAGTATTCAAATGTCTGCACATCCTTTTCCAGACTCGGTCTGCATAGCCATCATGATATGTGAAAGCCAATATTTATGTGGTTTCAATCTTTGAAAGATTCATTTATCTGAAAGGAAGTATTAATGATGCAGAGAGGGAGATACAGTGGTTTTCCATCCACTGGTTCACTCTTCAAATGCACACAACTACTAAAGGTGGATCATACTGAAACCAACAGCCTGGAACTCCATCTGGGTCCTTCAACCATCATTTTATGCTTTCCCAATTGCATTGCAGGGAGCTGGATCAGCAGTGGAGTCACAGAAACACAAATTGGCACTCCAATATAAGTGCTAGCCTGGCCCACACAGTGAAATGTCACCAAATGCCCATGCTGTGATTTTGATTTTTATAAATTACCTTATTTTGAAATTCAAAGTCACAGACTGATGGAGGAGGGCGAAAGAGGGTGAGCAAGAAAGAGAGAGAGCATCAGAGAGAAAGAGAAATTATTAGCCTGGCCACTCCCCAGACACCTACAACAGCTAGAATACACAAGCCAAAAATGAGGAGTGTGCAGTCTCATCATGTCTCCTATGTGGGCAGGAGGGACACAAGCATTCAGGCCACCTTGTGTTGTTCATCACAGACCATTAACCAAGAGCTGAATCAGAAATGGAACACACAAAGGTTTCCATCGCCTAGGGCAGTATGAATCTCATCGTGACTTCTTTATAAATCTCAGACAACATACGATCAGGAATTTGAACGATAGACAATATTATTCCCTTCACTAGAGCAAAGCAATCATGTGTGCTGCAGTCAGTTTCCCTTGCTGGGCTTGGACCTCTGCTGTGAATGACTGTGGATCCCTCTAATAGCCAGTGATAGTGCTCACTTCGGCAGCACATATACTAAAATTGGAACGATACAGAGAAGATTAGAATGGCCCCTGTGCAAGGATGACACGCCAGTGATATGTCTGATGTCCTTATCCCTGCAGTGGGAAATTCCCCTGTCTGTGTGTCTGGGATCCTGGTTGCCATAATACTTGGTACACTGTTTATGCTGCCATCTGTGTCCTGTGTTGTCCAGCGTCTCCCATGTTGAGCTACAGCATTCTCTTTCTTACACTCACATGATTACTTAAAATGTAGTCATAGGGCCCAGCATGGTGGCGCAAGTGGTTAAAGGTCCTCTCCTTGCACGCCCGGGATCCCATATGGGCGCCGGTTCTAATCCCGGCAGCCTACTTCCCTTCCAGCTCCCTGCCTGTGGCCCGGGAAGGCAGTCGAGGACGGCCCAAAGCTTTGGGAACCTGCACCCGTGTGGGAGACCCGGAAGAGGCTCCTGGCTTCGGATCGGCATGGTATCGACCAGTTGCGCTCACTTGGGGAGTGAATCATCGGATGGAAGATCTTCCTCTCTGTCTCTCCTCTCTGTATATCCGCCTTTCCAATAAAAAAATAATAAAAATAAATCTTAAAAAAAAAATGTAGTCATAATGTATTTTGGTGCTTCTCTGCAGAAGAGGAAACAAACAATGGCCCACTATGGGCATTTTAGAGCACTCTCCCTATGAACTCTTAGTAGCACAATTTATGCAATTTCAATAATCACAAAATCAAAATAAAATACAGGCTTAAAATGAAGGTAAAATTTTCAAGAGTAGAAAGAAAATATAAAGGAAAACCTTCATGATCTTGGATTTATCAATGACTACATGAATACGCCATGAAGAACAGACAAATACATACATATATACCATAATGATACTTAAAAGCTACTAGGTAGCAAAGAAAATAATTAATGGTGTACAAAAAACACTATGAATGGTGGGTAACATTTATAAATGATTTCTGATAAGAGGTTCATCCTAAAATTATGTCAGAAAGTTACAATCACAGCAGCTTTGAAAAAAAAAAAAGTATATACTTGAATAGACACCTAGGAAGAGGTTGAACTTTGAGCAGGAAATATTTTGATGACAAGATCTGTGAGACTTAAGTATAAGAGGAGCAAGCATTGTGGCACAGCAGGTGAAGCAACCCGGTTGGGAGATTACAACCCATATTGGAGCGCTAGTTTCAATTCTGGCTTCTACACTTGCAATTCAGTTTCTTGTGAGTACGTCCCAGGAGGCAGTAAATAATGGCACAGGTAGTTAGGCCTAAAGACCCACATAGGAGCTACAGATCGATTTCTGGGCTTTAGAGTTAGCCTAGCCCATTCCTGGTTGTCATAGGCAATTGGAGACTGAATAAAAAACCCCTTGCTCACTCACTAGCTCTCTCCTTAACAAAAGAAAAAAAAATTAAAGACAATTACATCATTGTAATGATGCAGGAACACCCTTTACTCAGAATAAGCTTTAGGACACTGACCACTAAATAAAGTGATTTTGCTTTTCGGATATTTAATACTTAAATTTCTAAAATGCATCTTCTCCAAAGCATTGAATACAAAAAAAACATTATCCTTTGTAGCCACATGTGAGAATAAAGACAGAGGAAAATACCTAAGAGAGACAATTTTGGCTTATTAATAAATGTTCTTTGATTGTCATAACTGTTCAAATAGGCTTGAAGTTTGCATACTGGTAGTCAGCTATAACTAGGACAGCGTAGCTTGTGGCTGGGACTTAATGAATTCAAAATAAGTGGATATATGACTGTGTGGATGAGATGAATGAGGTTCAATAATTAAGATTTATATAGAATGACAGAAGTTTATATGGTAGGGGAAGGGTGAGCCAAAAAATATTTCAAATTAGCATATGTCATAATTAGATTATTTTTAAAATTCTTAGTTAAGCATACATTGGCTTGTTTTGTAGTCTTGCTATTTCATAGATCTCGTAATTTAGACGACTTCTTCAGCAATGTGAAGAATGGTTTCTTGTTATAAAATGGGCTTTAACATCATAATTTGAAGAGTAAATGATGTGATTACATGCAAGAATCCTAAAGACAATGAATCAAGAAGGGTCACTGGAAGGGTTCATGGTGTTATCATGTCGTTCCCCTCTTATAACTATTAGTTATTAAGGCAACTTAATAAGGACACCAGGCCAGATTGCAAAGGAAAAGTTTGGATTTCGAAGAAATAAGTACAAGGTTTCTTTTGATTTCTTCTTCCTGTGAGAGGTTACACAGTCAACACTGAACTCCAACAACTAATGTAGCAAACAAGACACATGTCACATTTGTAAGGAAGCTTATTAGTGATTCAGTGCCCAGAGATTTTCTTACAACTATGCAAGTACACAGCCTATACATAACACAAACCAAATTGCAAACTCTTACAAAAGCAGCAAGAATTCAACAAAAATCACATCATATACACACCCCTGGTAGAATGAACACGCTTGTTATTTAGGGATCCCTGAGAGCACTTGTAAGGCCAAATGCTAGGGTCAGATTTATTGCCAGTCCTTTTCAAACACAGTAATTTCAAGTTTGTCAGGCTAACATTTTACAAGCCATGTAAAACGAAGATCTCTGGATTGTGCATGAAGTATTTCCTGCTTATTCCTTCTTGGAGCAATTGGAACATGCACCGCTACTATCCTCTCTGCCCCCATAACTTGGTTCTATATCAACTTGATATCCTACAGCATATTGCTACATCTATTACCACCCAAAACACGGCTTTCCCTTTGACATTTTTCCATTACTGGTAAAAGTTACTAATAAAAGTTTGCACGAAGTTACTGGTTTAATTTCTGTATTCTGAATATGAAGAAGGGTGTATAAATGCATTGACTATTTTTCTGGTAAAATTCATTGCTGAAATAAATAAGGTAAGAGATTTTCATCCAAACATTTGATTTCGTGTTTTAAGGGCTCCTTATATTACTTGAATTTGAGAAAAGAAACTTCTAAGTATAGTTGCAATATATTTATCTAAGGACTTTCAGTGTTAGGTTCCCTATACGGTCCTGAAAAAATTTGGATACTATCAAACAAATTCCCCCTCCCTCTTTTTTTTTAAATGCTTCAAATTTGGAAAAACCACTTGAACTATGATAGACTCCTAATCCATGGAAACTGTAGATGCGAACTTTTACTATTGGAATCCTCTACTCAAGATCTTAACCGCATCCCTATCTGATGCTGTGGGGAAGAAATCTACCAAAAGTCTCATCTTTTGGCTCAGATATTTTGTTAAGATTTGAGCAAGAAAGTTATTGCTTCCTTTTGTCTGAGCTACCAGAAGGCATTGTCATCTAGAAACTCTTCAACTTTCCTTTCAAGGCTGACCACAGACACTCTTAGAATTACACCACTTCTAGTCCTGCAAAGCCAGCCACAGGAACATTTTTAGGTTGAATTTTGCTCATATAATTAGCCTTTCATACTAACTTATATGTCAGCAATAAGAAAACAATTCAGTTTTTCTAAGAGTCCTGTAGTTGGATCAGCATACCTTTCAAAGGTCTCATGTTAAGGTTAAATGATTAATAATTTAATGCAAATACAATATGAAGATACATGAAAAAGTTCACTGGATAAACAAAAAGTAATGAGTTTTTGTCCATAAACTTTCCAATATCTCTGAGCTACTTTCTGCTCTGTCACTTCAGGTCACAAGAGAAATACAAAATGGCATGGATTATCAGAAGCATTTAGAATTCTTTCAAGGTTAGTTCTTAATTCTTTATTCAAGTTTTATATATTAATGATAACAAATATGTCAAATATTCTTCTGATTGTATCTTTAGATTACAATCATAGTCTGTGTATAAATCTTCAATTTTTATATTCTTAAAACTTAAGATTTTATTTATTCATTATGTCTCTCATTTATGTTTTTGCAAGAGAACAGAATGAATAAGTTACTGTAAATAATTCACAAATTGTACTCAAGTCAATTAGAGACAAACTACTAATTTCAAACTGAACTCAGCATTCAAAGGAACACATTTGATTACAACTTACTCTTCAGTAAACATGACTTCATCATATCTAGAATGACTGCACACACTGAACTATTTGCTTCCTCTCTGGAGTGGCATATATTTATATAATCACATATAAATATCACACTCATTTTTTGATAAGCCAAAGTATATTAAATTTTTATTCAATATAACATTTTAATATATCTTATCACAATAGCTTCAGAAAAGGGAAAAAATGATACACCAAATGCTATCTAACTGATTCAAAGCACTTGAAGGATACAGAAATTCTGCACAGCTTTAGATTCTCAAATTAGAGATGAATGATGGAGGTACAGAAGGAAACATGTATTTCTTCTATCATAAAGCATTTTGTATGTTGGTCTATGTTAAAAGGTTGTATGATTCTCAAAGGAAATAGCTGAAAGCACTTTTCTTGATTAGCATAAAACAAGCATAAAGATGCTTTAGAGGATAGTTCTCCAATGTACAGGTCATTCTTACAGCTACATGAGGGATACCTGCATTGAAAACTATCAAAGACAAACACAATGTTCATCATTCAATATTTTTCTTGCTCAGTCCTTTGTGGGTCATGACTTTTATTGTAATTGTGCAAGTATGCAATTATTACAAATAAGTGTATTGCCCTACTGCTTTTACTTTGTGAATAACAATTTAGTTAAAACAATAATAGCAGAGATGTTTTCATTATTTAAAATGTGATCTTTTTCATTAGTAATACTTATTTCAGTTTTGGCATCTAGATACTCATCTCTACAACAATGAATCTGAGGCCTTGTGAAAATGACCACTATGAAATCTGAGCACAGAATAAGTAAAAGAATAATCTACAAAAGAATTTTGTCTTAGGCGGTAATATGCATACACATGTTTATACATGTATTTATATGTTCAAAGACAATAGATAGTGCTTGCATGAACTTCCAGTGTAAAAATTTAGGCCAATTTGGACATAAAAATGAATAAACCAAAGTATTAAGAATCACTGAATAAAATAAGAATGAATAAAGCCATATTGAAAATAAAATCAAACAAGACATTGGAGAGAAGACGGTGGAAAGAAACA